CCCACGGGCGGAGGTGCCGCCTCTCCCCCGACGCCCCGAGCCCTGCGCGGCGGCCCAGCCTCGGCGGGGCCGCTCTTCGGAGGGGCTGAGACCAGGGCTGCTCTTCGTTGCCAAGGCGCCCCCGGCCCCCAGGGCCGGAGCGCAGGGCTCGCCATCCTGCCCCAGCCACTGAGACCCGCGGCGGCGGCGTCGAGGACGGGAGTCGGGGCGCTGGATATTTGGAGACGCTGGCACCGCCGTCGGCTGCTCGTTCCCCGGAGGAGGTAAGAAGTAACGTGAGAAAAGTAGGAGCGTGATCCCGGCACCTGCGAAAGCACAAGTGAGGTGGATGTACTTTGTCACCTGCCTCATATAAAATGGCTTCTGAACCACAGAGAGAATCAAAATGAAGAGGGGGAAGGCAAGTGTGAGGGGGATAGTGTTAAAACTCATTTAATTTAGAACATATGCGACACCGTGTTCAGCCCCAATCCCATTTTACATAGTCTATCCAATCAGCACTAGCCAAGTAAGTGCAGCACTGCCAAAAAGAGGTATGTTTCCCCCCAAAAAAAAATATTTAAAACCAGCCAAAAGCCAAGGATGTAGAAAACCACTAACTGGCTTTCCAATTGCATTTCTTTGTTCCTCTATCAGTAAGCATTTTTTCCTCCTAAGAGCAGAAATAAAGAGGCATGTCACTACACTGAGTCAATAAGTATTTTGAATAAAAATCCAGGCATTTTTGTTTTGCATGGCTGTCACTAAACAGTTAATTAACAGCACCACTGGAAAGATTTTTCGTACTAGATTGGGGCAAGCAAGATATCGCTGCTTTCTGGGCTGTATTCTGAAAGCCAGACGTGCAGGAAGCATTCCCATGACATGGTGATTCTGCTGGTTCCTCGGTGTGAAGGTTAATATCAGCAAAATGATATTTTACTCCTAGTTTTCTCCATGCAGGCAAAAAGATTTGCACAATAACAGACCTCAGAAAAGCTTCTGCTTGAAGATTTTCAGAGGATTCATACACTTGTGCACAAGTCCTTGTCCGAGTTTATGCTGGGGCAATACAGAATACACACCAGGGTTATATTCAGAATAGGCTGCAGCCGATCCTTAAATGAAGCTTTCGATAAGTAGAGAGTGCAGATTGCCTTCTTGGATGTAAATGTAGCAATACAGGCCCTGCTCGCATCAACTCCAGGAGCCTTTCTTCCTCCAGGTATGTTACTGCAGAGGTGATGTAGCCTCATTTTGTAGCTTCAGTCCCCCCGGTTCAAAATCAGGCAGGCAAGGAAGGATACACGATGGCTGGTGATGAATCCTGAATTATGAACTCTTGTTTTCATTTAGAGGTGGTGAAGAAAAGGCAGATGGATTGTTTTTTTTTAATCACTAAGTAGTACACAAGCAGGCCTAGAAATTGAGCTGGTAATAATAAAGGCCAGATTTGTTTTCAACCCTCCAAAAGGACAAATGCATTCACAAACCAAAAGTAAAATAAAATAATGCTTAAATGTGAATACTTTATAATCCCAAGGGGCACATTTTTAAGTATATGAACTGAGCTGTCTGAAATCTCTTTATTACTGTGTTCATATGAAAAATATAACTAGAAGAACAAAATGTAGGCCTTTTGTCATCATGTTGTGATTTATTCGTTATTTTTATCTAAAGATGCCCTGGCGTCCAAGACATTTTATAGAGGATGTGATACATATTAATTTTGTACTTTCAGAAAATAAGTGTAGTGTGTTAAAGATTAAAAAACAAAACAAAACAAACTACATTGCATTGTCATATATTAACACTGTCTACAATTGTATGCACATGAATTGAAGCACACAGCAATTTCCTTGATGTATGAATGTTCTGACTTAGAGAAACATATTGTTTTGTGTAAAGAAGGTGGTAGACAATTAACTGTATTCATTTAATCTAATTATAGGCCTCTGAGGCAAAAAGCTGTCACTTTTCACTGCAGAATGTTCAGAGAAGTTAATTGAAAAAACATTGCAGCCACAAGGCAGTACAGTCCCATCCTATAGTGGATATTAATTCATGTTTCCAAACTTGTGTGCCGTTGATGCTCAGTAAAGATAAGGGTAAATATTACACACGGGAGCAAGGCAGATTCTGCGTAAGCCTCTTACACAACACTCCCAGTGAACTGCAACAGCTCTGCAATTCCAGGGTTGACCACAGACAGTGAAATATGCCAAGCTGTATGGTGGTTTTGTAATATGGGCAAATGTCTAGGATGGATTTGGAGGAGATGAAACACATTTGAGTTGTGACATAGGTCAGAATTTGAAACGAGGCCCTCTTCTATAAGTAATAACCTCATATGGGTATTAGTTCTCTGTACAGTCCAGTTCCCTTAACAATAGTAAAACAACAATAGTGATCATATTATTTGAATGGGTTAGCACAGGTATAATTTTATAATATATCCTATATAAACGTAAAATATATATAGCATAAAATATGATGTGATATTGTAATATATAATATACAAGCTTCAGTTGGCACATGCAGCTCCCAGTGATATCAGCAGACATGGTACAGATCAACTGCAGTGTATGAGACATCATTTGTATCACTAGAGCACATGCCAATAATTTTGATATCTAATATTCGTCTTATTCTCAAACTGAAAAAGGAAGTGAAGCTGTGTGGGCTCGGCCTTGCAAATAGTAGATGTGGCCTGTCAGATGAAAGATAACATAA